AGTAAAGTGCTGCTGCTGCTGTTGCTGGGAGAAAGGGGACTCGGTCAAGCAGTTCTTGTACTCCTTTTTTCCTCCTCTTCTTCGTTGAAAAGAAACAAAGACTGAATAAAAAATGAAAGCCGTTTACAACTCCCTGTAAAGCCGGATTAGAGCGCAGCTCTTGAGAAGCAGGATGGAAGGGTACTGAGAGATAAGATGGAAGGGTACTGAGGGATAGGTGACTTCCTGAGGTAACGTGACCTCAGGGGGTCGCGTGACCTAATGGGCCACGTGACCTCAGGGGGTCACGTGATTTGAGGGGGTCACGTGACCTCAGGGGGTAACCCTGATGACACTCGTGAGGGTAACCTTCGTGACCCTCGTGAGGGTTACCATCGTGAACCTCCTGGTAACCCTAGTAACCCTTGTCAGGGTAACTCTCGTGACCCTCGTGAGGGTAACTCTCATAACCCTCGTGACCCTCGTGAGGTAACCCTTTTGACGGTAACTAACCCTCGTAACCCTCGTGAGGGTTACGAGGGTTACTCTCACGAGGGTTACGAGGGCGACCCTTGTAATCCATGTCAAGGTAACCTTCGTGGGAGTAACCCTCGTAGTCCTCACAAGGATTACGAGGGTTACGCGCGGTTACGCCGACGGCGACGGCGACGCCGCTCAAGCCGGAAACGGGCGCCTAAGAGCTGCGCTCTAAAAGCGCAACAGTACAACAGACAGAAAGGAAAACACAGCGCTACTTATAACTGAACTTCACTTTCGTTGTCACTCAATATATACATATATATACCGGCGCCAACGAAAACAAGTTAAGGAGGATATGCAAATAGGCATTATTAAAAGGCTAAGATTGTGACATCACTGATCACACCATCTCAGATTAGTCATCCCTGGTAGAGGAACAGTAATTCTTTGCCCGACAAAGATACAGAGGGTATATGGACACACTGCAGCCCTAGTCTACCAATGTCTTGCGCCTCAGGTATTTCTCGTGTGATTTTGTTTTTGTTTAGTACAGCACAGTCCGAAAAGAGTGGAATGCAGCCACAATATCGGGCAGTGAACACCGAGATGCCCTGATGAGACTGTATCTACGTCTTGTTGTGCTTTTTGACCATTACAAATCACCAACTCGAATGGACAGAGGCTTCGCTTCAGAGTAACAGGACTTCAGTCATCTCGGTGATTCAATTAATTGTTGGCAGTTATCGGAACCTTATCTCAAATCGCAGAAAACGCCCTTTCCGTCCTCCAGAACTGTTAAAAACAGTTTGTGACAGAGGAAAAAGCGATATCGCCTGAGCTTCCTTACTCCGCATCCAAAGCCCAGGAGGTCGCATTTTCAAATCGCAACTATACGGGGAAAAAGAAAAAAAAAAAGAAAGAGAAAGAGGAGGGTTGCAACGGCCAATGCCGGCGTTCGAACGCCCGTCCCAGCACGACGAGCAGACGACGCTCTTGCTCGCTCTGATTGGAGGGAGACAATGGGCACAAACAAAGGCAGCTAGCCCCTGCGTCTGCCCACTGTCCTTCCAATCTGAGCTCGGCGCTGTGACGTCGCCGCACGCTCTCATTTCCTCCTCTCCTTTAGTTGCTCTCCGTGCAGCACCGTGCGTCCGCTCCGCACTACGCACCACGATGGCGCCGCCCAGGAGACAATCGGGGGATGGGATGCCGATATTCTAAAAGCCCCAGTCAGACTGCTCATACCTCATTAGAGAGCCACTAAATAAGCTACACTTCAGGCTAACGACATTGACAGCCATCTTGGTGCTTAAAATCATGGTTGCCAGTTATCTCAAGCTTTATCTCAAATCGTGGAAAACGCTTTTGCGTCCTCCAGAGATGTTATGAGAGTTCGCAACAGAGCGAACACAATATCCCCCGAGCTTCCTAACCACTGTGTCTAAAGCTAAACATGTCTGCCGCCTTTTGCGCCACATATTAGCAGCGTGGCCGCGGCGTTAGCGCAGCCTTTCTAGTGGCTGTTGCCCCGACAGCATGGGGCAAAAAGATTGAGACCGAGTACAGCGGGGTCAGCGAGCGTTCCGGCGCAGGGTGGCGCAAATGACGCGCCGGTCACATCACTGATCGCGTGTACCTGTCTGACATGGCTGGCGCAAATGGCCCACGCCGAGAGACGCCATGTCCGCGCCTCTGTAATTACAACGAAGACGACGGGTGTCCGAAATGTGCCCCGGTACCATTACCCAGGAAAGGGCGTGATGCTCGAAGGCATTCCACGCCTAACGACTTCAACGACAGTCACCTGGCTATATGGAGCTATGTATTCCGACAAAAAAGGTTGTATCGGTGGTAACGTTATTCAAACGTAACGTCATGCCCCTTTGGTTTATGTAATACTCCGCACCTCCACACCTTTTTAGGCTGAAAGCGTGAGGTACTACTTTCCATGTGGTGACCACGCGCGCTGGGGATACGATTCGAACTGACTCCATCATCCCGCGACAGGTGTGATGAGCATGGTGATGGTGTCGATGATGGAGTAGTTGATGGGGATGAATACGAAGTTCATTTCCCGCGTTACAATATTTACGAGACTCGTGGAAAGAAAGTCCGAAACCAGAAAGAGCGAGTTTGAAGGCGAACATTGGTGAGGGCCATTTTAAATGCGTATCATTATTGGGGCCAGCTCTAAGGCCGCGAACAGATTCGAATGCGAGTCATCATGAGATCCGTGCTTCGAATGCCGCGTGGCAACGAGTTCAAGGAGGAAACTTGGGCGCGCGGCATTCGAACCACGGTCCTGTCTGCAGACTGTCTTTTGTATGATGTATGGGCATGCGCAGTGTGACCCCGCTTTTAGGGTTTTCGTGTCCGCGCAAAAGATGTAACCTCGCTGGCAGGGTGAAAAGAAAGAATACTTCAAAACAATCAAATAAATAAGCTTTTTTTATTTATATCAAATTGATTTGATATAAACTAGATTAATTTTATTTAAACCATTGTAGCTATAAAATAGTGCTTCTTTATTACTAGATGTATTTTTAAACGTGAAAAAGTGATTGATCAATTCGTCCGATCACTGAAAACAATGCGGAAGAAAGAATTACAGTAAATTTGAAGTAGTTTAATTAACAACAATTTACTGAGTAAGCCCTGCCATAGTTGAACAAATACAGCCTAATATTGCTTTAGTCGTTGAAAAGCTTCATTCGCTTTTTCGCGCACTAAATATCTTTCAATAGATAACTTTTCTAGTAGTATTAGTTCCTTTCTTTCGCGTTTTTTACTGGCAGTAAGACGCAGACTTGTACGTAACCAGTTACGAGTAACTGATTATTTGCAATCAATTACATTTTAGTGTAACTTTTTAACGGTTCAATTACTTTTTTTCTGCGGGTACGTTCGCTGTAATTCAGTTACTGTTTTTCTGTAATCCATTGTATGTTTCCAAAAAAAGGTAAAATTATCGATTTTTTTTACGTGAAAAAATTGCCATCTGCTCGTGCTTCTCTCGTCTATGTTGCACCAACATTGGACACTTTTCTTTTACCCCTAAACAACTAAAGACAGATACCAAAATACCATAAGGATTAGACTGTCAACGCGCGTTTAACTGCCTCCACCTGAAACGCTTTCAACAGGCGGTCGCAGCAACACTGAGGCGCCTTGCTTTCTAGAGGACTCGGAAGCTTCCGTCGAAGCACTGCCTAACCTCGAACTGGCACGCAAAGTGTTCGTGCGCTCCAACACCGCTCTTCCCTCAAGCGCATCCGTCGACAGGGTCTTCAGCGTCGCGGCAGATATCTTCACCAGGAAACATGGGAAGGTGACTGACGAGAACTTCGAACGAGAACTGCTTTTGAAGCTTAACGAGGTGTCAATGACGAAAAGCAACAGAATGTAACCACTTTGAACATATGTATGCATTTTTTTTAATTCGCAATAAAAAGTAAAAGAAAAAAAGTAACGTGAAACGTTACCAATTACTTTCTGGTAATTTTGCAATCACTTTTGTGATGCAGTATTTGATTACTGTAATCAGTTACATTTTGCAATAAAGTAATTGTAATTGGTCACTTCTTTTTCAGTAACGCCTACAAGACTGGCAGGACGTTACGTTACTGACGAACAATGTGGATGGGGGAAAGAAAGCTCGACTTAATTTACTCAAAAGATTACTGCTTTGTCCTCGTGTTAAGCCTGATATAAATATTTCTCCCTTGACGACTCCTTGGTTTAGATACAGAATTAATGCACGTAGAAAGCACCAAATAATAAACAAATTGTAAACAAAAAATATATTTTCGGGGATATTTTTGCGGAAAAGTTTTGATTTAGATCACCATCATAATAAAATCGGCCTGTTTTAAATCAGGGTTCAAATCATCTTGATTTCTATTCTCCACTTTGATCGATGGTGACGTGACGCTGATGTCGTAATGGTGTTCAGAACAGCTGGTGTCTGACCATGGCGTTGGACCAGTGACGAGTCCTACAAAGGTAACTCTCCGGTCGTTTCCACGCTACACTGTGACGTCAGATGTCATGGTCACGTGACGTGACGTCCGTTGACACCCTGGTGTCAGAGAGGTTCCTGATTCCTATATATCTAGAACGGCTTTGGGATATACCCAAGACACATGTGGGTTTTTTGTTGTCTTTTTCTTGACAAATTGAACTGACATAGAACTAAGCCAGGCGCATATGCCGGGGTAGCATTGGCCCAGATTCGGCAAGCTGGACGGGTGTTTTGGAATACATTTTAGGCTGGCCTTGTTTGTATCAATTCGCTACAGAGGACTTCACCGGTCACGGTTAGGTGAAGAAATAACGAAAAAAAAAAAGCTTTTTGTGGCTCAGGCTTCAGGAATCCCAATGTATTTAATTGCTCCTAATGTTCACTTTCGTTTGAAGTACGGCAGTTATCGCAACGAAACAAGCTACTAGAGGACGTTGAAATAAATCGGTCACGCCGAATTGTAGCTGAAAAAAAGAAATCAAAAAGAGCAAAACAAGACAAGAAAGACAAGAGAAAGGGATTTGTATATAACCAGATCTTTTACTCAATATCGTCGCAGGTTTTGTACAGACGCTCGTATGCGTATTTGTTTATTCTTCCCTATGTACACCCGCCATAATAATAATAATAATACATAATATAGTAGAATGTGATAGAATAGATAATCGAATGCTCCTCTTTCTCTCCCGAAACTCTCTGGGTGGCGCCTCGAGAGAAGAGCAAACGAGGTGCGCATACCTATAAATAAATTAGGACAACACAACTCACACACGAGAACATCGCCGATGTAACGCGCCAATACACACACACATGGGCGCACATTTCGATTTGTTGTCGCTCGCGGGGTCTCATGACAGAACAAATCTACAGCGATACACAGAAGACAAGCTGCTCAGTGTCAATCCCGCAGAGACGGATTCAGTCAAAGCGAACACCGAGAGGAGGCAGTGAGGTTCCGCGGTTGATTCTTACCTTCCAAACTATTCGCATCCTTTAAATACACGAGATTCTACGAAAGAACAACAACAAGCAACAAACCAACAAACAACAACAACAAACGAAGCGTGCGCGCCGTGAATATTCGAGCCTCCTTCTTTATATAAATAACGGCAGATCTTTTGTGGCTCGTCTTGTTGAAGTACAGGCCGCAAAGGACAAAGGGGAATAAGTATTTGAACACAAAGTGCAGGCTTCAGAGTACCCACGTTTTGCGCTGCCGACGTCTGACATTCTGTGGAACGTACGGCCCCTCGTGTGTCCTGGGACTCTGAGCTGGACAATGGCCGAGGAAGTCGGTCAAATCGCCAACGCCGTGATTGGACAGCGCCAAGGTCCAGCGCGGCGACGGTCAACCGCGGTGTTCGGCGATCTCGCCGACTTTTTCACCGAGCGTTCAACCTAGAGCCCCTGGTAAACTCGTTCTCGGTGGACACTGGACCGTCAATGGTACCATGGAACCAATTCGTAAAGACAACAAGGAAACGATGTGTTGCCCTCAATTTCACAGCCTCACCATTGAAAAAGTCAAAAACAGGGAGGCACAATATGAAGCTGGACTGACTGCATCCCAAATGACGTAGCTCTAGCAAACGCTGCGTGGTGTCATCTACAGCGTGACGTCGTAGCTTTCATCAGTGACACTTCGTGGTTCAAGAGGTACCACTGCCGTAATCTGCCTCTTCTCTATATGCCCTACCCATCCTCGCTCAGCCGCTAGCTTTGAAGCCTCACACCGTCGGCAGCGCAGAAAACAAAATCGAGGCCGCTGCCCTATGCCTTCAAGCACGTGAACGTAGCTCTGGCAAGCTTGTAATCGCACGGGCGTGCCTGCTCAAGCGGAGATATGGCGGTGGCTAGTCGCCCAGCTTACAATCGTCTATAGACGTTTCGCGGAAAGCTTGAAACGAAATGTTCATCGTGACCATTTCAATCGTTCCTTGCGCACACGAGCAAGAACGTAAAGGCAGTGTGAAAAAAAGGCATCCGTTGGCACGTGCGTGTATTCTGTCAACTGGGAATGTTAGCTGCCCGTTTGTCTGTGGCATAAGGTCATCCACCGAACAGGTCATAACACGTGACGCTGCAAGGTGCATTATACAGCAGCTGAAGCCTTATTTTTTTGTGTTTTGTTTTTAATCACGTGGCAATGGCAACGCCAGGAAGGCACTTTTGGAATGGTGTATAACGCAGCAGCCAGGTAGCTAAGTATATACGCTGAAGAAATTATTGGGCTATCTTTTGATAGATCAGTGCCAAATATCAGGCTAAATAAGCGGGAGGACCATTTCTTTTTCTCTCTCGCTTTGTGTACTAAAGCTTGGTTCGTGTATTGCAAACTGTATAGAGCATCTACAATTTAGGGCACGCCAGTGGTGAAGAAAATATTAAAGAAGACAGTCATTGGCACTACTGGCGGTAAAGCGGAGAAGAATTTGCCCAGGAATCTTGGGTCGACCTTCTTGCCCAAGGAATTGTGTAGTTGGATGAGTATAGCTGAAACCAAAGGCACATCGCCCAAGAACGTGGAAAGGCAATTATCACAGCGGTGCAAGTACAATTCCTTCTAATTTGTAGAAAGCGGAACATCGTAAGGTCGTCGACTACCTACGTTAATTTTTTCCGGCTTCGCTAATACATTCGTACACGCAACAGAGGCAACTTAAAGGCCTTGCTGCATTCCGCGCGTAAATAGAACCAGAAATAGGTGGCCCCCTGTTTCACGCCAAGTTCCCAACAGACATCATTCTTAGCACCACCAGAGGTCACATCATTCACAAACAGCGTTGAGCGAACAACTTGGAACATGGATGAGTCCCAATAGCTCGAGCACAACAATGTTCCACTCACAATTTCACACGCGATCCCGAATGAACATTCTCAGGTGCGGGATCTCATGACCAGTGCATGAACCTTCGAGTACAAGTCTCAGTCGTGACGTTTGGTCTCTCGGACGTCTTCATCATGATCCAGAAGATCAAAGCCCTCGGATCGTTGTCACGCGCCGTTATTGAAATCGATGTTTCAGAACCGACCCCACAAGTGTCCACAAGGTCCAGAACTGACGAAGATCCGATTCCCTCGGGTGCTCAGAAGATCGGTGTTCGCGGACGACTTCTGAGCTGCCTGGGGCATTAGTAGGAATGTCGAGGAGGTAGATATCCCGGGTTCGCCAAGGAGATCAAAGTTCCGGAACTGTACAAAGGCACCGCTTCCACATTGGGAGATCGACAAGAGCAACGTTCTGAAGACGTGGTCGACCACACGGCTAGGACACGACGGCAAGTTTGTTGTCGTAGGTGCCTCCGTTCGGAAGTGGCAGCGACAGCGCCGTGGGATCGTCGTTGGTCGTCTGTCGGCGTCCCTTGAGGTAGGAGCTCCTGTTGACGTAGCGCGTGCCCAGGAGCCCCGCGTGGCGTCGCAGAACGGCGAGCACGGCAAGGGCGACCACGGCCAGGCTGCCCACTCCGACGGCAAGCACCGCCAGGAACACGGGACTCAAGAGCCTCTGCGAGGGCGGTGGCGCCGTCGTCGTGGGCTCGCCCGAGGACAGGCCGCTGTTATTGCTGGGGGTGAGGCCAGGCATCCCAGGCTGCAGATCTGGCTGGCTGACTGCAAAAATACACATTTTGGAAAGAATAAGCAAAGCGTGACTAATAAGTGAACATCTTGACATCGCATCCTGAAAACATTCACTTATTTCCATGGAGTTTCCAATCGGTGCTGTCTTCAGCGTTTGTGAGAATGGCGCGTGCTTTGCTCGCGTTATAAATTGACCTACAGGCGTGTGCTGAGCAACGGAGATTGCGACAAATAATTGGTTGAAGTATTGATGACTGAAGAATGATTGATTTTTACCTTTGTACGAGTCTTCAGTCCCTGAGCTAGCGCTGAAATATAGTAAAGACGACCTTGTCGTAAGGATTTAAACACACGATGTGCGATCAATTTAGGCTCCCATTCTTCGATTTCAAAATTGATAACCATTTTTTAGTGGATATAGTATGGGTTAGAAAATAATAATAATAGACACACGGACCTCATATTGTTCGGCTCTTAAGCCCAAATTAACTAGTAGGTCTAAGGTGGCGGTGGTGGTGGTGTTTGCCTGACGAGAGGATTTTCTCACTGGCTGTGGAAAAGTTTTATGGGCTTGGGTTATTCCAGTTTTGATGAGAATGAATGCAAGGGGAAAGGAGGTAAAAACAGATATATGTGAATATGTAAGTTTCGAACATGAGTATGTGATTTTAAAGGAGTTTCAGATGCGCTTGCGCACTCACAACACACCCACACAATTATCGAACCGGTTAGGGGCTGTTGGTTGATTAAACAATTGATCAATTAATTAATGCAGTATTCATTCGCTGTTGGGGTTATTCGCATATGGATGTGTCGCATGACCTGATATATCGTTAGTCTTACCTAGAACGCTTGCGGCGCAGTCACAAATGAGTTTACCCATCAAATAAACAGTCTCAAATAAACAGCAAAACCAAGATCTTCGGCAATTATGAATGCACAAACCGTATCTCACTCTGAGTGTTCGGCAGATGGACTGGGCTAAAGCACAGCTAGGTCACGCCCAGATCTCTTCTTTGTTATACCTCGCCGAGACACAGCAACGCTTCCTTCTACGCTCTGTTACGAGATCCATGATGGTGGTTGGATGCCTTCGACACCTTCAAAACACTGCCAAATTCTTCCAGCCTACAGGACTCCGTACTCGGGGTGCAAGTCATGCAACCAAATTTTGCGATTGTCAGATCGAGTCACTAAATAGGTTTTCAGAGTAACAACACATCTTGTTGCTCAAAAGTCGTTGTAGTCGCTTATCTTATGCATTATCTTAAATCGTAGGAAAGGTTTCGTCCTCAAGAAATGTTAAAACAGTCCGCGGCGAATTCGTGACCCCGTATCTATTAGCGCCGAGATGTTTTGGTGGCGCCCTCCTATGGTTTCCATCCCTGACGTCACGATTGGGATTCGCCTCGCCGTGACGTCACCAGTTGTTATCCTGGCTACTTACCATCAGGTGCGACGACGAGTTCGGGGGTGTGTTTAAAAAGCACAGTGGAAGCTAGGAGCCATCGCAATCCGAAACTAACACCGTCAAACTTGACAATCTGACAATGCTCATATGCCCATGGTTTGGCCAATTGTGGAAAGCTTACCGCAGCGACGCTTTTGGTCGCGCACATCGCTAATAGAGCTCAGAGAGTCGCATTTTCAAATCGTAACTATCACCTTGCAGCCGCTCCGCACTAAGCACCGAAATTGCGACGCCCACGAGAGAATCGAGCAATGGGGTGCCGAGTGAAGTCTATTACGCTACGCTATGTTGAGACGACACCCGGATCGCGCACGCGGTCGAGCTTACCCGGCGGCGCGAGCAGCACGTTCAGGTTGCACAGGTTCTGGCTGCAGCAGACCAGATGCGGCCAACGGGCGGCCGAGTGGACAGCGGGCCTGCGGTTCTCGCAGAGCAGCGGCGTCTTGCTATTGATGCAGCCCTGCTTGCGCGGGTCCGACCCGTCCGACGTCTGGAGGTACTGGGTGTAGCACATGGACGTGGTGTTGCAGCGGGTCGTGTTCTGCGCCAGGCAGTGCTCCGTGCTGCACGCGCACGTGATCTGCTTCCCTGGAACACAAAAGACGACCGGCCATGAGCAACGCTGTTGTCACCCTTGGCAACTACGGTCACCGACAGAACTAGAACGGCAAGGAGGTCTTTCCGTTGTTCCAGCGCGAACCTTTCGATAACGCTTTGACCTTCCAGCGTGTACGCGCAGTCGCGGCGGTGAGCAGTGCTGGAGGTCCTGCCACTCTCGCCCTGTTAGTGAATACAGGAACTCCGAGCAACACTTCTAAGCAGCCACGCTGCACTAAAACACGATTGCAAGAAGGCGCATTTGGGCCGATAGCTTATTTCTCCTTCTCAAGAAATCACATGTGCTGTGTTCTCATCGGTAAGAAATCACATACACCATGTCCCAGACAGAATAGAAGTCGCAATACGCTACGCGTAAGGTAAACTGGGGAGGGGAGTTACGCGTTAAATCAACGAAGGAGGGCCCTCGGCAAGGCTCAGCGAGGGGCTGAAAATTAATTTCTACCATCAGCTGCACTCTAAGAAATGCCTGCGTGTCTACTGACCCGCAAAACACTGAAGGAGGAAATCTCTGCCATCTACGAAATCAGCTCAGCGAATGATGAGGCGGAACACCTGTCTAGACCTCAAAATTAAGTCTGTGCTGTAGCATTACGCAACGCAAGCATGACGCTTTGCATTGCGAAATGCCACAGCGCAGACTGCATTTTCAGGTCTAACCGGATGTTCCGCCTCATCATTCGCTGAGCTGAATTCCTAGATCGTAATGATTGGCTCTTTGAGTGTTTTGCTGTTTAGTAGACGCGCAGGCATTTCTTACACTCTAAAAAATGTATGTAAGTCAACTTCCCCGCACAACACTCGGAGAGCCAATCACCGCAACTTACAGAGGCTGCTCAGCGAATGACGATGCGGAAACGTATGTTTAGACCAAAAAGCGCAGTCTGAGTTGTGACATTAAGCAATGCAAAACGTCACGCTTGCATTGCTTAACGTCACAACTCAGACTGCGTTTTTTGGTCTAAACATATGTTTCGGCATCGACATTCGCTGAGCAGCCTCTGCAAGTTGCGGTGATTGGCTCTCCGAGTGTTGTGCGTGAAAGTAGACGCACAGACGTTTTTTAGAGTGCCCCTGGTATAAGCCTTTTACAAGGTAATGTTTAACTTAAAATCTGCGAAAAAAAACATCAAAAAAGTTTTTTTTTTTTGCATTTATAGAATAAGTATACATATTTAAAGATTATGCGACGGCTTTTGTATTTTGAAGTTGCTTTTATACCAACATACCAACAGCGGGTGCATCATGCCAACTGAGAAATGAGAAATACACAGCGCATCTACAGAGGAATGTCATATTGAGGAAAGAAAAACAATACAATGTCATTAGCTACGCAAAACAGTACTAAAGTCTACAGGCCGTCTACGAGCTTCATTAAACAGAACAAAAAAAAAAAAAAAACGTGTGAGCGTTTAAATGTAGTACAGAAATGACGCGGGCCAAAACTGCAGAGTCATTGGGCTGCGGGCGCTTATACGCGGCGTCTGATATTCCGCGGAACAGAGCGCCTGCGCGTGCTCAGAACGCGTTCCACATTCCAGTAGATAAGCATCATCAGCGTCCTCAAACTCGGCGTCTGATATTCCGCGGAAGAGAGCGCCTTCGCGTGCCCGGAACGCGTTCCACAGTCCAGTAGATAAGCATCATCAGCGTCCTCAAACTCGGCGTCTGATATTCCGCGGAAGAGAGCGCCTTCGCGTGCCCGGAACGCGTTCCACAGTCCAGTAGATAAGCATCATCAGCGTCCTCAAACTCGGCGTCTGATATTCCGCGGAAGAGAGCGCCTTCGCGTGCCCGGAAAGCGTTCCACAGTCCAGTAGATAAGCATCATCAGCGTCCTCAAACTCGGCGTCTGATATTCCGCGGAAGAGAGCGCCTTCGCGTGCCCGGAACGCGTTCCACAGTCCAGTAGATAAGCATCATCAGCGTCCTCAAACTCGGCGTCTGATATTCCGCGGAAGAGAGCGCCTTCGCGTGCCCGGAACGCGTTCCACAGTCCAGTAGATAAGCATCATCAGCGTCCTCAAACTCGGCGTCTGATATTCCGCGGAAGAGAGCGCCTTCGCGTGCCCGGAAAGCGTTCCACAGTCCAGTAGATAAGCATCATCAGCGTCCTCAAACTCGGCGTCTGATATTCCGCGGAAGAGAGCGCCTTCGCGTGCCCGGAACGCGTTCCACAGTCCAGTAGATAAGCATCATCAGCGTCCTCAAACTCGGCGTCTGATATTCCGCGGAAGAGAGCGCCTTCGCGTGCCCGGAACGCGTTCCACAGTCCAGTAGATAAGCATCATCAGCGTCCTCAAACTCGGCGTCTGATATTCCGCCGAAGAGAGCGCCTTCGCGTGCCCGGAAAGCGTTCCACAGTCCAGTAGACAAGCATCATCGGCGTCCTCAAACTCGGCGTCTGATATTCCGCGGAAGAGAGCGCCTTCGCGTGCCCGGAACGCGTTCCACAGTCCAGTAGATAGCATCATCAGCGTCCTCAAACTCGGCGTCTGATATTCCGCGGAAGAGAGCGCCTTCGCGTGCCCGGAAAGCGTTCCACAGTCCAGTAGATAAGCATCATCAGCGTCCTCAAACTCGGCGTCTGATATTCCGCGGAAGAGAGCGCCTTCGCGTGCCCGGAACGCGTTCCACAGTCCAGTAGACAAGCATCATCAGCGTCCTCAAACTCGGCGTCTGATATTCCGCGGAAGAGAGCGCCTTCGCGTGCCCGGAAAGCGTTCCACAGTCCAGTAGACAAGCATCATCGGCGTCCTCAAACTCGGCGTCTGATATTCCGCGGAAGAGAGCGCCTTCGCGTGCCCGGAAAGCGTTCCACAGTCCAGTAGACAAGCATCATCGGCGTCCTCAAACTCGGCGTCTGATATTCCGCGGAAGAGAGCGCCTTCGCGTGCCCGGAACGCGTTCCACAGTCCAGTAGACAAGCATCATCAGCGTCCTCAAACTCGGCGTCTGATATTCCGCGGAAGAGAGCGCCTTCGCGTGCCCGGAACGCGTTCCACAGTCCAGTAGATAAGCATCATCAGCGTCCTCAAACTCGGCGTCTGATATTCCGCGGAAGAGAGCGCCTTCGCGTGCCCGGAACGCGTTCCACAGTCCAGTAGATAAGCATCATCAGCGTCCTCAAACTCGGCGTCTGATATTCCGCGGAAGAGAGCGCCTTCGCGTGCCCGGAAAGCGTTCCACAGTCCAGTAGACAAGCATCATCGGCGTCCTCAAACTCGGCGTCTGATATTCCGCGGAAGAGAGCGCCTTCGCGTGCCCGGAACGCGTTCCACAGTCCAGTAGATAAGCATCATCAGCGTCCTCAAACTCGGCGTCTGATATTCCGCGGAAGAGAGCGCCTTCGCGTGCCCGGAAAGCGTTCCACAGTCCAGTAGATAAGCATCATCAGCGTCCTCAAACTCGGCGTCTGATATTCCGCGGAAGAGAGCGCCTTCGCGTGCCCGGAACGCGTTCCACAGTCCAGTAGACAAGCATCATCAGCGTCCTCAAACTCGGCGTCTGATATTCCGCGGAAGAGAGCGCCTTCGCGTGCCCGGAAAGCGTTCCACAGTCCAGTAGATAAGCATCATCAGCGTCCTCAAACTCGGCGTCTGATATTCCGCGGAAGAGAGCGCCTTCGCGTGCCCGGAACGCGTTCCACAGTCCAGTAGATAAGCATCATCAGCGTCCTCAAACTCGGCGTCTGATATTCCGCGGAAGAGAGCGCCTTCGCGTGCCCGGAAAGCGTTCCACAGTCCAGTAGACAAGCATCATCGGCGTCCTCAAACTCGGCGTCTGATATTCCGCGGAAGAGAGCGCCTTCGCGTGCCCGGAACGCGTTCCACAGTCCAGTAGACAAGCATCATCAGCGTCCTCAAACTCGGCGTCTGATATTCCGCGGAAGAGAGCGCCTTCGCGTGCCCGGAACGCGTTCCACAGTCCAGTAGATAAGCATCATCAGCGTCCTCAAACTCGGCGTCTGATATTCCGCGGAAGAGAGCGCCTTCGCGTGCCCGGAAAGCGTTCCACAGTCCAGTAGACAAGCATCATCGGCGTCCTCAAACTCGGCGTCTGATATTCCGCGGAAGAGAGCGCCTTCGCGTGCCCGGAACGCGTTCCACAGTCCAGTAGATAAGCATCATCAGCGTCCTCAAACTCGGCGTCTGATATTCCGCGGAAGAGAGCGCCTGCGCGTGCCCGGAACGCGTTCCACAGTCCAGTAGATAAGCATCGTCAGCGTCCTCAAACTCGGCGTCTGATATTCCGCGGAAGAGAGCGCCTGCGCGTGCCCGGAACGCGTTCCACAGTCCAGTAGATAAGCATCGTCAGCGTCCTCAAACTCGGCGTCTGATATTCCACGGAAGAGAGCGCCTTCGCGTGCCCGGAACGCGTTCCACAGTCCAGTAGATAAGCATCGTCAGCGTCCTCAAACTCGGCGTCTGATATTCCGCGGAAGAGAGCGCCTGCGCGTGCCCGGAACGCGTTCCACAGTCCAGTAGATAAGCATCATCAGCGTCCTCAAACTCGGCGTCTGATATTCCGCGGAAGAGAGCGCCTGCACGTGCCCGGAACGCGTTCCACAGTCCAGTAGATAAGCATCGTCAGCGTCCTCAAACTCGGCGTCTGATATTCCGCGGAAGAGAGCGCCTTCGCGTGCCCGGAACGCGTTCCACAGTCCAGTAGATAAGCATCGTCAGCGTCCTCAAACTCGGCGTCTGATATTCCGCGGAAGAGAGCGCCTTCGCGTGCCCGGAACGCGTTCCACAGTCCAGTAGATAAGCATCGTCAGCGTCCTCAAACTCGGCGTCTGATATTCCGCGGAAGAGAGCGCCTTCGCGTGCCCGGAACGCGTTCCACAGTCCAGTAGATAAGCATCGTCAGCGTCCTCAAACTCGGCGTCTGATATTCCGCGGAAGAGAGCGCCTTCGCGTGCCCCGAACGCGTTCCACAGTCCAGTAGATAAGCATCGTCAGCGTCCTCAA